TCACAAACCAGCCCTCATTAAACAGAGAGGCCAAAGCCAGAATGGTCATGGAGAATAAGCTACCCAACCTCTCACCTCGATAGGTAGTCCCACCAGGGAAAATGTAGGAAAACCTTAACTGTGAGCTCTGTTACACTGTCTCCCCAGTGAAAATGGAAGCTCCTTCACTTTGGGTCACTTTAAAATAGATTGGACAAAGTAGTGTGGGTTGTACTGTAGGGAAGAGAAGAACCCAGCACTGGGCTAGATGATCTCGCAGGTCTCCTGACTAAATTCTATTTCTTTGTGCAAATAGAATTCTTATGAGCACTAGACTTTGGTGACACGAATGAATTAAAAAGGCAAATATAGCCAAGTCCCCATGTACTCATTGGGAAGCTTGGTGTATATTCTGCATCAAGGCCTCTGAATTCTCTTGCACTCTAAGGCAGCAGGACAGATTCTGTGGTAGTTTCAAATGAATTTTAAAAGGGAAGATTTTAAACATAACGGCCATACTGGGTCAGACCAAAGGTCCATCAAGCCCAGTATCCTGTCCTCTGACAGTGGCCAATGGCAGGTGCCCCAAAGGGAATGAACAGATCAGGTTATCATCAAGTCATCCATGCCCTTTCACCCAATCCCAGCTTCTGGCAAACAGAGGCTAGCGACACCATTCCTGCCCATCCTGGCTAATAGCCATTGATGGACCTATCTTCCATGAATCTGTCTAGCTCCCTTTTGAACCCCGTTATAGTATTGGCCTTCACAACACCCTCTGGCCAGGAGTTCCAGAGGTGGACAGTGCATTGTGTCATTTTTTTTATTAAATTAAATTTGAAAATGGATAATACAATTAGTGCAGATATTAAATTTAGCTTATTTTAAGAAGTCCTGTATATTTTATTTTTCTTTGTGTAGCAAAATTCTGTATTGGAAAAAACATTTGATTCATAAAAATTGTCAAGAGGGAAATATCCTACTGGGTTTTTTGGCAGCAGGGTAGGAAGGAAGTGGGGCTTTTGGCACTGGGGAAGGTGTGGCAGGTGTTCTGAGTCAGTAGGAATAAGCACATTGGTTGAATGTTTCTACTTAAAGGATCAGCAGTTAACTAGCTACCCATGGTCATGTTTAAATTGTCATCATTAGGTTTCAAAGTTACCAACTTACTGAGATGAATCGATGCAGTTCACACACCAAGCTAATTTTTCAGGGTCTCTGGAGACTCATAAGGGTCAGGACTTTTGTTTCCCTTTGAAATGAAAGCTTGGATTCCAGATCATGATTCCTTGGCAAATTCCACTGCTGCAGAAGGTGAAAGGGGGTCTGTATAATTTAACATGACACTGTTTTCCATAAGAGACGTGGCACTGCTCTGCAGATGGGTAAGAGGAGTAGGTGTTAGTAATAGTAGTGCAATAGCTCATTGGTGTGGCACATTGGTGTGGGATTGTATGAGAAGCAATGTTATAGCCGAAAGTAAAAGATTCTGGAATTAGATCTCCCCATATTATATCCTGACACGATTGTTGAAGGTAGTGCACATCCCCCAGCTCCTTCACATTGACTGACACATTGTGTGCATGTCTGCAATGCTAGTGGGTAAAGTGAGGCCACAGAGCAGTAGAAGAAAGGGGACGAGCAGCACTGTATCCATGCCTCTCTCTGGGCCTCCATCCCATGAAATAATTCATTCTAAATTGAGCTTGTGGAGCAGTAGAACAGCAATGTTGTATCCATGAGGTAAGATGTAAACAGATTGTAAGTGAGCCAGGCTGCTAACTAATTGCATTGGGGTCGGGTTGTAGTGTCATCTGATGCTGTACCAAGTTGATGACATTATCAGCCAGGGACCTTGTAACAAGTTATAACTTATTGCTGCAGTTCTCATAAAAATGGTGAGAAGAGCCAGTTGACTGTTTATGTAGCGTGGCGGCACTGCACTCCAAGGAGACACTCCTAGGTATGCTAGGAGCAGCATGCTGTATTGTCACATGGAGGATCCAGTTCTGAGTCCCAGATTTCATGGAACAAGAGAGGTTTTGAGCTCTGTGGAGACCATTCCTGGAAGGAGGCAATGCCCTGTATTGCTGTCAACTTAGGAGCAGCACTGACTGAGTTCAAAGGCAACTGTATTCATTGTCCTTATTCAGAAGGATAGGTTGCCCTACTTTTGGAAGCCTTTGAGCAGGGAGAACATAAAGGGCAAAATGAGGAAATCCTAGATGATTCTCTAAATTTCCCATTTCTTCCCCCCACAAATCTGTTTTGACTGGTGATATTTCAGCCTTTTTTTTGGTTGGTTTGTTTCAGCGGATCCCTTTGAAATGATGCTAAAGTCCCTGTTGAGGTACCAGTCTGGACTCAGTGGAGATGCGGGGGAGAGTCACCTGAGGAAAAAGCTGTATGAAAACGGTGTGACCAAGTCCCTGCAGAGTAATTTTGCTGTCATCCAGAAGGTGAATTACTTCATTTGAAGGCTTGCAGTTTGCAGGCCAGCTTGTAACATTTTCCCGGAGAGAACAGCAATCTGTGGCCTTTAGTGGAGAGGTTAATGGGGATAGAGGTTGGGGTAAAGGAGCAGAGGGAAGGTTGGTTGTGGAACCAGAAGCATGTGCTGATTTTGAGAATGTTTTAAAATCTCAATATTCTAACTTCTGGACTTTTATTTCTTCTATTATTATTATGGAGAGGTGGTAGCTAAGGCTGATTTTTATTTATTTATTTTTTGCTCTCTCCCTCAAAGTCCTCAAAAATATAATTTCCACTTCGCATTTTACATATTCCTGGTCTGAGATTGGTAAATTTGAGGTTATTTGCACAAAATTTTGCCAGAAGCTGGGAATGGGCGACAGGGGATAAATCACTTGATTGGCACACACTCTTGAGCAGGTCTGGTATCCCCTCCAGAACAGATCACTGGCACTCATGCACACTGTGAAGGGACAGACACATGTATGAAGCACATTATTTTCTATATTAAGACAGAGGAATCAATGGAACTGATGTTGTATAAATTGCTGTCAGATGCACAAAGTAAACAAATTGAAAGAAATGCTTCCCCCTCCCCCCCATATTCCAGGTGTGGTTGACTTTGTTACTTGCAACAATATTGGATAGCAAGTTTCACAGAGAAATGTAATATTAGTGGTGGTAGTATCCATCTGACTGTATAAATACAGTATGAATATGCTTTTGTTTGCATTAGCTCAATACATTTAGAAGGAAGGACAGGGTTTGTTTACATTTATTTCAAGACATTAGATACAACTAAAATTGCTGTAGTGTCTGAGTTCTAGGTATATCTCCAGAGGGTGGGAGCAGGGCAGGATTCCAGATGTTGGGATTGTACTCAGATGCAGAGCTCTTCTGTTGACTCACTCTGGCAGCCAAATATAGTAAGTCCTATTAGCTCCAACCCATGAGTACTAAACGGTTTAAGCATTCCTTTGTGGTAGAGGGAGCAGGCTCTCAGGGGTCCTATGGGGAAAAACCGTAGCAACAGCCAACCTTAGCAGGAACCTAAGGCTGAGGTTTATTGTTCTTTTAATAATAATAATAATAAAAAAAAACTGCAAGAAGGGGTTCCGTTTGAGCCATATCCACTGTCTGGACTGTTAAGAGCTGGGTGAGAATACTTCCTCTTTAAGGTGTGTTTCTAGAGAACAATGGGGTGAAGTGGTAGGTCAAGGAGATTATTGTAGCTTTCTGATTTCCTTTCTTTTAGCTGTCTGAAGAGTTGCTAGCAAAATGGCTGTCTTTTCCTGAGTCTCAACATGTGCCCCTTTGCCAACACATGCTGGGCTTTGCCATGAAGTCTGTCACACAGACAGCAATGGGCAGTAGCTTTGAAGATGACCGGGAAGTAATTCACTTTCGCAGGAACCATGATGCGGTAAGTCTCGGGAAGAGCCAGGAATGTTCTCCTAGATCCTGTCAATTTTCCAGGTTGATGGCATTAGCCTCAATCACTGCATAGTTTAGCAAGGAGTACAAAACGCTGAAGCAGAGGCCTTCACCTTGGATGTTCAGGTTGGTAGGGTCTCCAAGCAGGTGATTTCACCACTATTTTGTCCCAATTACACTTAGTCAATATAAAGAAATAGCTAATAAGTATATGCAAAAACAATGAGGAGTCCGGCGGCACCTTAAAGACTAACAGATTTATTTGGGCATAAGCTTATAAGTATATGGTAACTTTTGTAAGGCTAGAGTTTTCTTAAGCACCTACAGGAACTGGGTATGTGCAAATGTCTTTGAAATCTGATGGCATTTGAGTGCTTAACTCACTTAAACTCTTACGAAAATCCCATCCCAAATCTTTGATTTCTGGTCCCTTCTTAAACCCTCAGTGTTGTGAATAAAGAGAACATCTGAGGTGACCACAGTTAGTCCAAGTAGAGGCCACCATCCACACTTACAGAACCATCACGCTACCTGCAAGGGTAATTATACAAGATTGGTACTTTGTGAGCAGGAGGCACAATACTGAGCTGAAATTGGGAATGAACGGCAATCCCTTTGTAAAGGTTTAAATGGGCCTCCGTGATAAATGCTATTTAGTTCTTACAAGTAAATGGACCACAGTTACTTTGAATCTTGGATGTTGTGCCATCTCCCTTTGACCTGCATATCTTGGATCCTTTATGGACTTTTCTAAAATCAAGAGTAAAAATATGATGTGACCTATGGTAGGATGCTACTCTAACATGCAGAATAAGTAGGTTGAATTTGTGGCCCTGGTGTTTTTGTGCCTTGAGACACCATGGCTTGGAAGGCTTTGCTAATAGAGGTAGGTTCAGCCTCCAGGAAGTGGACATAGGTGCTGAGTACCACTCTAGCTGAAGTCAGTGGGAGCTGTGGGTGCTTGGCAATTCTGTAAATTGAGGCCATAGTTTCCCACTTTTCTCTCAAAAGCAATCTCTGAGACCCATCATGTGAGTTCCAGACTTCAGCCAGAATGCTGATGGCTCCAAAGATGAGGATTCGAGGGTGGAATGGAAAAAAACAGGAACCCAGTGGTTCTGTCAGATATGATAAGGGCCTCTTAAAGATTATCTGCAAAGGCTTGTTTTTAAAATTTGGGTTTGTAACCTTTTTTGCTTCCTTGCGGATAAATGAGGCATACAGAGGATTTTTTATACCTTTTATAAATATTAGGAATGTTAAGTCTCGTCTTCCCAAGTTTTGCTAGAGCAGTGGTTCTCAATTTTTTTTCGCAGACCACTTGAAAATTGCTGAGGGTCTCGGCGGACCACTTCATGATCTTTCCAAATGTTGTTTATACCGTTAGCTAACTATTGTAAAGCACTTTGGATAAAAGCACTATATACATTTTTTTTTATAATAATTAATGTTTTTTGTTCTACAAATAAAAGCACACAACTCATATTTTAATATCAGTAGTCTTACCTTTCTAATGCGATGGATGTGCCCTCTCTCCCCTGCCACGGCAGCCCCGAGATGGGGCTGGGAAGGAGGGAGGGTCTCTTCCCCCTCTGCCCCGCCGCGGCAGCCCCTGAGCTGAGGCTGGGAAGGAGGCCCGTCTCTCACCACAGCCCTGGAGCTGGGGGAAGTTGCCTCTTTCTCTGGCCGCCACAGCCCTGCACGTCCCAGATTCCCCCACCCCCTCTTCTCACCCCACTTCCCCCTCCCACCTACCCCCTATTCCCCCCCACCCCCCAGGCCGCCACCTCACCTTACCTGTGTGTCTTCTCCAAGGTCCACTAATTAAGTGGTTGGCCCTTCGTTCTCTTGTGTGCGGCTGCCCAGGCATGCACCTTAGAGTAACTATCCACGGACCACCTGAATGGAGCTCATGGACCACTGGTGGTCCGCAGACCACAGTTTGAGAACCTCTGTGCTAGAGGAATCCCTGAGGTGTCTCTGGAATGTACATTGTGAGCTTTTGCACCTTACCTAGAATGACAGGGGTGTTGAATCTTTAACAAAGATATCCTTTCTCCAAGATGTTCAATAGTCATTGGAATTAAATGCTTGTTAACAGAACCAAAGAATTTTACAGTCTGACCAAAAGCTCTTCCTCTTAACTCCAGTCACTTAGACTTGGGCTACCAACTGAGCCTCACAGATCCCAATCAGTGATGTAAAAGTAGAGGGCCTTCCTTCTCCCACTCAGGATATATATCATTTTTTCAGTTGTAATTAATCCCCATGACTGCATCATCTCAGCTCAGTTCCAGCAGCACTTTGCAAACAGCCTCACAAACACAGCAGCACATGTGATTGTGCCCACACTTAAAACAAGACCTATTTCTTGTTCCTATAGGGAAGGGGAAGTCTTCATTTTTTTGCATGTGTGTCAGGATAAAGTTAGGCAAAGCTGCCAGCAACCTGTGACTTGGAGGGTAATGGAATTCATCTGTACCTCTTTCAGATCTGGGCAGAAATTGGAAAGGGTTTCTTGGATGGGTCACTTGACAAAAGTATGACCAGGAAAAAGCTATATGAAGATGGTAAGTTGTTTTGTTTTTCCACCACCACCACCAACACCCCCTATTGGCTCATTCACACACCTGTGGTTACTGTGTTTGAGGTAACTACCATATGAAGGTGTTTGATTTGCCCATATTTATTTATGTATTGATTTTTCTGTGGAATTGATCACCATAGTATCTGATTACCTTGCATACTTTATCGATTTTTCCTGTGCGGTAGTGAATTTTTGTCATCTCTATTTTACAGACAAGGCCCAGAGAGGTTAAATGACTTGCCCAAGGTCACACAGGAAGCTTGTGGCAGAGCCGGAAACTGAACTCGGATTTCCTGAGTTCCTGTTTAGTGACTGAACTACAAGACCATTCTTCCTTAGTTAGCCATGAAGCAGAATGTAGCAGTCCTGAATTGTGGCTTTAACCAATGCCTTCCGTGCTGTACATTGGTATTCCCAGTACAGCTTACTATTTTCAGTTATGCATCTGGTTCTCTCATGTCAACTTTCATATGCTGCCATATCAGATTATTTTATTTTTGTGCTGTTTTGTCTCTTTAATTATTATGAAAATATTAAAATAATATTAAGGACTTAATTTAAACCCACAAAAACAGGGTGTTCCCGTTCTTGCACTTGTGCTGTGTGTTTAAGGACATTAGGCCAAATTCTGCTCTGTTAAGCTGATGTATATCCAGAATTGCCTTCATTAGTATTACACCAGTTTTATAGCAGTATGACACAACAGCAAACTCTGATTTCCTTTATTTTGTGTGTAAGTTCTGCTGGGGTCCCCAGACAGCATGTGAGAGGAAGGAGGTCTTGTCCTGAAGGCACTGGCCTGGGACTTGAAAAATCTAGATTCCATTCCTGGCTCTGCCACAGACTTCTTGGGTGACCTTGGGCAAGTTATTTAATCTCTCTGTGTCTTAGTTCCCCATCTTTAAAATGGGGATAATAAATACTTCCCTTTCCCCACCATTTGTCTTTTCTATCAGGACAATTTCTTCAGGAGGGGGACTGTCTCTTACTATATGTTTGTACAATCCCTCACACAATGGGACCCTGATGTTGATTGAGGTGCTACAACAATGTGAATGATTAGTAGCAATAACTCTATAGACTACACAGGCTGTGAGATCTGAGTGAAGTATAAGAATGTTTTGTGGGGTGATTTGTTAAACCCTGAATGTTATTTGAACTTGCTCTCGTGATCTGAGCTGTACCATTTATGTGTCGGCTTATTTTGTGATCTCTCTCTATTTGACTCATGCATTTTTAGATTAAATTACAGTAAACTTCTTGCAAATTGACACTAAGTAACATGCTCAGTACAGAGTCTTCTTCTATCAATGGACACAGGATGGACAGTTTGCCTGAAAAGCTGTTTGGGAAGATGGATTCTAGAAGAGTCCTCTGCTGCTTTTGGGGGTGACCAGCTTTTAAAATAATGATTTGTTTGTGTGCCTGAAGCTCTGATGGAGATGGAATCCGTCTTAAAGAAAGTCACAAAGGAGCGGCGGGGCAGGAGCTTCAACCGACACGTCTTCATAGACTCCTTACTGCAGGGGAACCTGAGTGACAAGCAGGTATGTACAGCTATTGTGGACGTACCATTACATGCTAATGGAGTTTCACTAGATCAAGTGTTAATTACATCTTAACATTTGATTAATTGTCTGTCTTGCATCTCGTTCAGTCCAGATTCCTCACTAGAGTATAACGTGTATTTATTTTCATCTTCCACTCTTTAAATGCATTATATTTTTGGTTACTTTCTGTTTTGCTGCTTTATTGTTCTATGAACTGGATGGGTATTTAGTATTAAGAATCTTTCTTTGCTTAAGTACCCGTTTTAAGCCTTGCATTAATAAGAAAAAAACAGAAGTAAGGAAACAGAGGTTAACAATGGACAAAGCATGAATTCACAAGTGGCATTGTAACTAATATGTAGCTATTACATTAAGAAATAGTAAGAAGAAGAGTAATGTGTGATAAGCTTGCAGTTGCAGCTTTGCTTACTAGCACACTTTGTAGCGCATGAGCAGTTTATAATCTATACAAGGATTGATTTGCCAAATTAGTAAGCCACTCATAAAGCATGTGAATATAGAATGCAGAATATAATGCACATGTGTTGGACTCTTTTAGAGTATGTTTATAATCTGATTACATCATATAATTATGTACGCTGGAGTTGTGGTGCACCCTAACCAACCCCTACACCTGAGCCTGATCACCTCAGTTATAGCTTATAGTTCCAATAAAGAACCCTCAGGGACAAGTCCAGATTCACACTGAGTTTTTTGAATTCCAGAGGACTGGATAAAGTGTGCTCCCAAAACTGGACAAGGCATTCTGGATAAGCCAAGTGGAAAAGGTCTTGGAGGGAATCCCAAAACCCTTCCAGGGGAAGCACTATAGAGAGAGTTCAGTCCTATCTTTCCATGCTGGATTTCATGCTGTCTTGAGTTAAGGTGATTTAGTGTGGTGGAATGGAAGATGTGATTTGTCATTACATTCTTTAATGTTTTCTCTGACTCCATACCCCTGAACCAGATTTTGTTTCGTAGATCCTGGAAGACACGATGATATTCTCTCTGGCAGGGTGTGTAATCACGGCTAACCGTAAGTAGAGAACATAGGCAGCTTTCAACTCTGTAACAGAGATAAGGGGACTAATCTATATTAAAAAAAGCATGGTGAGATGAAATGTATCTTCTTGTAAAGAAAAAGCAAAATTTCCCTTTCCTTTTCTCTTATACTAGAAATTTATTCAGGCAGGTATTTCTACGGCATTGTCCAGGTGCCCTATTGGTGCGCCTTTCTAGTTAGTGGGTTCTAGTGGATTGAAGCCAAGCTGTTAGACAGCCCCCCCACCCCCCCCATGTCATGTAGTGAGTCTTAAAATTTCCTGCTGCTGTTCTTCACTTGGACTCTAAGCCCATCCAGCTGATGCTAAATTAGATGAAATTGTACCAAAGGGAAGCAGCCCAAAACGATCATCCCTTGAAATAAACTGTGTTGCTCTTGGAAGATTTAGAGCAATCTGATGTTTGACTGGCTGTTTCATGTTTCCCTACAGCATGTATGCTATCGACTTTTTTTTTTTTTTTAAGTTACTTGCTTTCATATAAGGATTATGAGAAAAGCAAACAGAAATAAGAACCAAATGGAAACCTTTTGGCTGCACACGTTGTTACTATGTTGGGGAATTTTTCTAAACTAAATCTGCAGGATTAACAGGCCCAAAGTCATCCAACTTATCTGGAATCCTGAAGACAACCGTCCAGATATAGCACTTAACCAAGATGTTGAAGGGTATTGAAAGTCAAGTAGCAAAGCTCACATAAAGAGAATGTCAGTGATACAGGGAACTCTCTCTACCAGTGTTTTGGCTGTTTAATTTTCTGATGGGACCTCCTGTACAACATCAAGAGTAGAAAATGGCAAAATGCCTGCTCACTCTTGCTTCTTGCAACTTGGAAACACTACTTCACATGGGCTTATTTCATATTAGAGCTGTCTATCGTTCTGATAAATTTTATTGGAGAAATCTGCCTAGATAGTATATCATAAAAGTCTGTTGCTAGATACAAAAAAGACCAGATCCAGCCACATGGTACAGGGAGTTGTTATACACCCCTTGTGCCACCTGAATCCCTCTTGTGCACAGAGAGAAAAGGGGGACAAGTGACAATATTGCTGCCACCTTCCCATCAGAGCTCCGCCAGGGGGCTATAAGAGCTCCATTGAGGGGAAGTGCTAAATCAGTGAATCCCCAACTGCTCAGTAACATCCCTTTCCTGGCCAGCACTGTCCACTCTCCTATTACCCACCTGCGGGAGGGGAGGTTTTCGCTGCTTTCTCCACATGCGTTGGAGCTCACTTTGGTAGATTTACTACTCAGGACCCTTTAGTTAAATCTAGCCTGATGGTCTAAATTCTCCGATTACCCTGAGTGCTGGCCTGTGCGCAGGCAGTGTGACTGTTGTAGGAGCTATGCTCTGGGGATTAGGGGAAGAGCAGCGGTATGGAATGGTTGACCCTTCTTAGGACTGTCTGGTCTCTTCTGTGTGGATCATGGAGCTGTGAGGCTGCAGCACCCCAAGCCCATTAAATGACCATTTCCTTCTTAATCCACTTGGTTTGATCATTTTCCAGTATCTCCCAAGTTTCTTGTCACCAGGACAGGAAAAGGGATTCCAGATTGTAGTATCCCTCGGTAGCATCATTCAGACTCTGTCCTATTATTCAGTATAGAATCAATAAGGTGTACTGGGTAAATTCTATACAGCTACATTGTATAATTCATACAGATGTTATCCTTTCACATTTGCATCTCGTGTGTCTCCCTAATGCCTCTTCACTGCATTAGAAGGGTAACATTGCAGAGACAGAGCAGGAAGACTGGAGACCGGAAGACTGATTTGTCCCCCTTAAATGAGGAGATGGATTTGCTGAGCCAGCACTCTCCTTGTTCCTTTCTTAGTGTGCACCTGGGCAGTCTATTTCCTGACAACATCAGAAGAAGTCCAGCAGAACCTCTACAAGGAGGTGGACCGAGTTCTCGGAAAGGGCCCACTTACACATGAGAAAATTGAGCAGCTCAGGTGGGTCCACGTTAAGAGTGGGAGAAGCACTTGAGCTAAATAAGATGTCATTGTGATCCTGTATGCTAAGGGCTGACTCCTATCCATGCTGGTGAAAGGAGGGGGAGCAGCAACACTGACCAGTGTGTCCAGTGATTCAGGGAGCATGCCCATCAGAAGCCCAGGTGGAGTTTGCTTGGAGTCAATTGGAGCATTTCCCTTGACTTCATTTGGAGCTGGATTGGGCCCCATGACAAGATGCCTTGTGGTGGGCTCAGAAGCTATGCTCTGAACCATGTCTTGCCACTCCTTTGAGCAAGAACAAAGGGGGTATCCTTGGCTGGTGACTGTTGTTGATGGCTGTGTACCCCTTTAGAAAAGTCCAAGAGGCGTGAATAGGAGAGAGACCTTTTCTGTAGGTGTTAGAACCACCCTATAGAACGCAACAGAGAATTATACCCCTGGTGTAGGATTCTACCAGATGGTTAAAAAAAAACGTGTTAGACTCTATTCAACTGTAGGTTTTTAGGCAATTTCACTAGTACCATGTTAAATTTCTGTAGAACTTAGTTTCAACCTTACTAATAATAGTAATCTAGGTGTTGTTTGTGTTGCAGTAGTCCCCAATCAGGAGTGGGCCCTCTTATGTGAGGTGCAGTACAACACAGTCCCCACCCTTATTCAGCACTTAAGTGCTTTACTGAGTTGGGACCAAGGTGCAGAGGATTAAGAGTATTAGGGCCCTCCAAAGTAGGTGTGTTTGGGAGCAGTGGGGACATGACCTGAGGTGGTTGATGAGGACAGGGCACAGTGCGCTGCACTTTCAACAAGGAGGATTAGGAGTCTTGCCAGTGTCCCTAAAGCATGTGCCTCAGCACTTAGATGCCGCAGTGCTAGATGCCTTAAACAAATCTCAGAGAGTAACTCCAGCCACTGATGCAGCATACCTCTGCAGTCCCCTGCTATAGCTATTGTAGGGTCCTGTGGAGCAGTGGAACGCTGGCGAGAGAGCTTCCTAGTCTCTCCTTGATGAAGTTTGTTGTCTAGCTGCTATCAGCTGGCCACTGAACAGATATTATTTTTATAACCTCCCATAGAAACCCTCTTGCTTCATCTGCAAATGTTTCAGGACTCCTCACTGAGTGTGTCCTGGAAGCAGCTCTGGGAGAGGAGCTGTGATCCCAGATGCAGAGGGTCAGCAAATCTAGGGCAGCCTTACGCAGAACAGCCATTCCTGATACCACAGAAACATGCACTTGCTTGTCTCAGAAAAAGCTTTATTGGCACAGACTTCTGGTTGCAGGTACTGCCGGCAGGTCCTGTGCGAGACGGTGCGGACAGCAAAGCTTACGCCAATTGCTGCACGGCTGCAGGAGCTGGAGGGAAGAATTGACCAGCATATTATCCCCAAAGAGGTAGGACAGAGCTGGGAGCTCAAACTCGCCCTCTCCTCTTGGTTGATTTTGTTCTTTGCGATTCTGAAGTTCCCATTACCGTGGAGAAGGGGAGCACTGTGCCCAATTACTGTCAAAGCCAGATTATTTCTCTAGTACATCTTACACCAAGATGACAGTCTGTCTTTGATATTTGTGCAGTTTAGCTTGGAGCCTAAAAGGTGCTCTTCCCCTTTCCTCTGTGAAGAGGCTATTCTAGAACCCTGAGTGGTTCATTATAATGCCTTCCATGGACTCCTTCTGCTGGAGTGTCTGTTTCTGGGCTAAGTTGTGCACAGCAGATCCTAATTTAAGAACATAAGAATGGCCATATTGAGTCAGACCAGTAGTCCATCCAGTCCAGTATCCTGTCTGACAGTGGCCAGATGCTTAAAAGGAAATGAACAAAACATGGCAGTCATCAAGTGATCCATCCCCTGTCATCCAGTCCCAGCATCTGTCAGTCAGAGGTTTATGGACACCCAGAGCATGGGGTTGCATCTGAGACTATCTTGGCTAATAGCCATTAGTGGACCTATCCTCCATAATCTTATCTAGTTCTTTTTTTTAACCCAGTTACACTTTTGATCTTCACAACATCCCCGGCAACGATTTCCACAAGTTGACTGTGCATTGTGTGAAGTAGTACTTCTTTTTGTTTGTTTTAAACCTACTGTGTATTAATTTCATTAGGTGACCCCTGATTCTTGTTATGTGAAGAAATAAATAGCACTTCCTTATTCACTTTCACCACACTATTCACGATTTTATAAACCTCTATCATGTCCCCCCTTAGTTGACTCTTTTCCAAGTTGAATAGTTCCAGTCATTTTAATCTCTGCTCGTATGGAAGCTGTTCCATACCCTTAACCATTTTTTTTTTTTTGCCCTTCTTGGTACCTTTTCCAGTTCTAATATATCTTTTTTGAGATTGGGTGACCAGAACTCTATGCAGTATTCAAGGCACGTGCATACCGTAGATTTATGTAATGGCATTATGTTTTTTTCTGTCTTATCTATCCCTTTCCTAATGGTTCCTAATATTCTGTTAGATCTCTGACTGCCACTGCACATTGAGCAGATATTTTCAGAGAACTATCCACAATGACTCCAAGATCTTTCTTGAGTTGTTATAGCTAATTTAGAGACCATAATTCTGTATGTATAGTCGGGATTATTTTCCAATAGGCATTTATCAACATTGAAATTCATCTACCATTTTGTTGCCCAGTCACCTAGCTTTCCAAGAACCCTTTGTAACTCTTCAGTCTGTTTTGGACTTACGGGTAACTATCTTGAGTAATTTTGTATCGTCTGCAAACCATGTACCTCATTGTTTACACTTTTTTCCAGATCATTTATGAATATGATGAACAGCATTGATCCCAGTAGAAAGCCCTGGGGGACACCACTATTTACATCTCTCCATTTTGAAAAGTGACCATTTATTCCTAGCCTTTGTTTCCTGTCTTTTAACCAGGTACTGATCCATGTGAGAATCTTCCCTCTTATCCCATGACTGCTTACTTTGCTTAAGAGCTTTAAGGGACCTTGTCAAAGGCTTTCTGAAGGTCCAAGTACACTATCCCACTGGATCACCCATGTCCACGTGTTTGTTGACCCCCTCAAAGAATTCTAATGGATTGGTGAAGCATGATTTCTCTTTACAAAAGCCTTGTTGAGTCTTACACAACAAATTGTGTTCATCTATGTGTCTGACAATTTTGTTCTTTATTATAGTTTTAACCAACTTGCCTGGTTAGGCTTACTGGTTTGTAATTGCCAGGATTGCCTCTGAAGGCTTTTTTAAAAATTGGCATCACATTAGCTATCCCTCCCTTCATCTGGTACAGAAGTTGATTTAAGTGATATGTTACATACCACAGTTATTAGTTCTGCAATTTCATATTTGAGTTTCCTTCAGGATTCTGGTGACTTATTACTGTTTAGTTTATCAGTTTGTTCCAAAATCACTTCTACTGACACCTCAGTCTGGGACAGTTACTCAGATTTGTCACCTAAAAAGAATGACTTAGGTATGGGAATCTCCATCACGTCCTCTGTAGTGAAGACCGATACAAAGAATTCATTTAACTTCTCCGCAATGACCTCATCTTCCTTGAGTGCTCTTTTAGCACCTTGATTATGTAGTGGCCCCACTGACTGTGTGGCAGGCTTCATGCTTCTGATGTACTTAAAAAAAAAAAAAAAAAAATTGCTGTTAGATTCTGCTAGTTGCTCTTCCAGTTCTTTTTTGGCCTGCCTAATTATACTTTTACACTTGACTTGCCAGACTCTGTGTTCCTTTCTATTTTCCTCAGTAGGTTTTGACTTTCAATTTTTAAAGGCTGCCTTTTTTACTTTAACCACTTCTTTTGCTCTGTTTAGTCTGGTGGCATTATTTTGGTTGTCTTACTATTCGTATTAATTTGGGATATACATTTAGTTTGAGCCTTTATTATGGTGTTTTTAAAAAGTTTCCTTGCAGGCATTTCACTCTTGTGACTGTTCCTTTTAATTTCCGTTTAACTAGCTTCCTCATTTTTGTGTAGTTCCTCTTTCTAAAGTTAAATACTACTGTGGTGGACTTCTTTGGTATTCTCCCCCACGCTCATGTACGTTATGGTCGCTATTGCCAAGCGGTTCAGCTATATTCATCTCTTGAACCAGATCCTGTGTTCCCCTTAGGACTAAATCAAGAATTGTCTCTCCCCTTTTGGGTTCCAGGACTAGTTGCTCCAAGAAGTAGTCATTAATGGTATCTAGAAACTTTATTTCTGCATCCTGTCCTGAGGCGGCATGTACCCAGTGAGTATGGAGATAGCTGAAATCCCCAATTATTATTGAGTTTTGTTTTTTAATAGCCTCTCTAATCTCCCTGAGCATTTCCAGTCACCATCACCATCCTGGTCAGATGGCCAGTATATATTTCTACAGCTATCCTCTTATTATTCAAGCATAATTTCTATCCATAAAGATTCTGTGGTACTGTTTGATTCATTTTAAGATGTTTACTATATTTAACTCTATGCTTTCTTTCACATATGGTGCCACCCCCCCACAAGCATGACATATATATTAGGTCCCCTGGTATTAGTGTCCCATTGATTGTCATCACTCCTCCACCAAGTTCCTGTCATCATTCCACCAAGTAGGGTCTGATACTGTCACCTTTACAGATACAGAGAAAGACTTTACTCTGCATGCAGTCCACTGATTCCAGTGGGTCTTACTTGCAAAGTAAGGGACTAATGCAAAGCCCATAGAAGTCAGTGGGAGAAGGGCAATAGATCAGGTCCTAAGGTACTACTGACTATGAGCAAGGGTGGCAGAACTGGGCTCTTAAATTATAAAATCCTAATTTATGGGCAGATGCTGCTTGCCTTACTCACTGACCAGAACAAAATCTATTGCAATTCCATTTATTTCAGTTGAGTTGCATCAGCTTGCATCAGGTGTGAATTTGGTCCAATGGGACTAACTCACATAAACAGAACAGAACTTGGCCTGTAAATTGTAAACTCTTCAGAACAGGTATGTCACAACAGAGGTGCTGGAAAAAAAAAAGTAAAGGAATCTGGGACTGTGATTAAGGACGTTTGGAAGCCATATAAGGTTGACATTTACAAGGCAGTGCTGCTTTTTGAGTGTTTGGATCTCATTTCTCTCTCTCTTTCACTCTCTCTGTACTTGGTTGGGTTGAGCAGAGCTGACACGATGATGCTGGCTCCCTTTTGCTTACATTAAACTGCTCCCTGACACACGTGCTCTGTTTTAATTTGAATATGGTTTCGAGTAGGTTTCTTGCACAAATGGAAGTGATGGCTTGAATTTATGCTGGTGATGGGCTCAGTCCTAATCTTTAACATACTTTGCATTATTTGTGCCTGACTAGTTGTGGGAGGAATGAGGAGATCATGTGTGAAACAGGTTTTGTCTTTGTGTACTAGAGATGGGATTTAACCAGATCCTTGGCCAACACCCCCAGAATTTTAGTGAAGTTTGAATCTGCATCTGAACTTGTGACTGGCTCCTATCTCAATATGGGCTAAACTTGAACTCTGGATATGAACACCCTGGAAGTTTGGATCTGGATATGAACTTAGTGGCTTGATTCCCAACCCTTTATAGAAACCAACAGGGTCCAATTAAAGTTGCTCTAAAGACCTATGCAATTGAATAGAAAATGATAGCTTAAAAATTAAAGGTGTTGGGGATAGGATATGCTATTAAATGTGATGTGATGGTCCCAAAACCCCCAATTGAATGGTGTGTCCTTTTCTATTATGTTCTATATAGAACTCTTCCATAAGGGCTGTCTAATGGTTACTGTCTAGTGGTAACTTTATCCCTGTTGTGTATTCTACACTGACTCAGATGTGTTTTTTCTTTTCTTTTCATTTCAGACTCTTGTGCTTTATGCTCTGGGTGTGGTGCTTCAGGACAGTTCAGCTTGGGCCTCACCCTATAAGTATGGGATACCAAAAACTTTATTATAGTTTGTTCATTTTTTCTTTTGGATTTTGCCTCTCAATGTCCCTATGGGTAGGCTGTCAAACCTTCCTTAAGTAGCCTGTCGTGGAGAGAGGTGGAAGGAACTCCCTGCTAAGATTTGTTGTGGTCTCTTCATTGTCACCAAGGACAGGGTTTTGGGTAACTCCAAATGTGATCTTGCAGGCTACATATTCGTTGTGTATTAAGGAGTACAACAACAGATTTTCTGATTATTCACAGCCCTCCCTTGGCAAATGCTGTGGGACTATTTTTCAGGTTTGCTGCAAGGGGAAAACAGTGATTTCAAATGGATTTGAAATCACTGTTCATTACCATAAAACAATGGCTCACGGGAGGAAATGTCAGTCAAAGGTTTTTGTTTTTTAAGGGGAAGGAAACTCTACCTCATTATTTCCACCCATGAAAACAAAAAGGATCCTGGCCTGAAAATTAGAACTCCAGAGGGCAAAAGGAAATGCTGTAGCTTGCTTTGGCCTCCAGGTGGCAATTTTGAACACTGGTTTAACATAGCTTAGGCAGGAAGGAATGTGGGTCAGTGATTCTAGTCTGAGAGAAAAGACAGTGGAGCTTGTGGGAGAAAAAATTGCTCTAAGGGCTCTGTTCTTTCTCTTACAGCCATAACCCTTGCTTCAGGGGAAGAGGGAGGGCGGAGAAGCCTTCTGCCCTATCAGCATCATGCTGGCTGATGCCTCCAGGAGCACTAGGGGATCATACATCAGAATGATAGCTGCACTGTCCTTAATTTGGCAAGAGGGCACTGGCTGGAGAGGAAGCTGGAGAACAGGGCCATGGCCCACAGTCAGCACAACACACACCTAGTCATTGCCTGCCAGTAGATCAAGGGCTGAGATTGTGGCTGACTTGGGGAAGGGAGGCGTGTTTGAGGGTTTCTTGTGTGCCCTCCTTTTGCCCACCTGAGCAAGTTTAGCCACAGTCCAGTCCTAATATAGTGTGGGTGAATGTCTCCTTTCAACAGTTTTTTCTAAATGACCGAGTTTCCCTTCTTGTTATACCATCTGTAATTTGCCGCTTTTAATTAGGGTGCGAATGTAGACCCCATTCCTACTGCCACTGAAGGTCAATGGGAAAGCTCCTTTTGACTTTAATCGGAGTAGGATCAGAGCTGTAGTTCATAGGCACAGGCAGGGAGCCAAAGGTTTGAAGTGTAATGGAAAGGATCTAATACACAGTGAGAGAGAATTGCCTTAAAGTCATCTAATTGCATATTTTCTATAATATCATAGCTCATGTTTTAAGCTGCCTGGCATTTTATTAGTCTCCTGTTGGTTACTTGATTATGGGAATTTCATTTTAATTAAACCAGTAGTTCCCTTAAAGCTTTCATCAACCCAATGTGAAACAAGTTCTTCTCGTTCTAATGAATCATCAGCTTCCCCCACCCACATGCCAGCTGCTTGAAGTGGAGGGTGAGGGGCAAGAAGAATTGGAAATCTTCATGTAAGCAGTGGAGAAGGAAAGGAGAGAGAAATTAGATTGCATGTGCTCTTCGCAATCTGCATGTTGTAGGAGGGAGAAGGCGTTCGATTGATGCTGATAGCAAAGTAGTGGAATCCTGAATTTTAGGATTTCATTAGTCTCTGCCCCTTATGTGTACAGATGTGCGCACACACACATGCATGCATTGCCAGGAAGGAATCAGTCCCTCTTTTGTCTTACAGATTTGATCCAGACAGATTCAATGACGAATCCGCTATGAAAAACTTTTCCCTACTGGGCTTTTCGGGAAGTCAGGAGTGCCCAGAGTTGAGGTGAGATAAAGAAAAGACTATGTGTATGTGTGGATGCAGGGGTAGGAAGGAACAGCTTGTTCCTCTTAAATTTGTCAAGTATTGAACACCAGCCCTGGCAGACTGCATCAGCAGTGACTGCAGAATTTATCTCATTGTCTTTCTATAATTCTTTCCCCCTAGGTTTGCCTATATGGTGGCTACAGTGCTGCTGAGTATGTTGGTAAGGAAATTATATCTGCATCCCGTGAAAGGGCAGGTCATGGAGACCAAATATGAGCTGGTAACCTCGCCAAAGGAAGAAGCATGGATAACTGTATCCAAGAGAAGCTGAGTGAACAAACCCAGGAGTGAGTGCGAGAGAGAGCGCCTCAGAGAGGAACCCTCCCACATCATGCTGAACTGGTCAAGGGTTTAATGTCACTGTTTCATTACCTTCCATGTTCTTAACCCAGCAGCCTTTTGGTATTTTTTGTAGAGCAAAAAAATTGTCATATTAAAGTAGATTTAATCCTTATGCCTTTTGGATACATTATTTTGACCTTTAGCCATTTTGTGTTCAAGGAAGCAACATAATCTTACAGTTTACTCATAAGAACTGCAGTATTGGAATAGGCCAATACTCCAGCTAGCCCATTATTTGTATAACAGTAGCTAAAGCTGGATGCCTCAGAGGAAACCATAAAGCCCTCTAATGCAGGGCAAACTTTTTGGCCTGAGGGCCACATCTCGGTATGAAAATTGTATGGCGGGCCATGAATGCTCACAAATTTGGGGGCTGGGGTGCAGGAGGGCATGAGGGCTCCGGCAGTGGGCGTGGGCTCTGGGGTGGGGCTGGGGATGAGGAGTTCGGGGTGCAGGAGAGTGCTTTGGGCTGGGACCCAGGGGTTCGGAGGGTGGGAGGGGGATCAGGGCTGGGGCAGGGGGTTGGGGCACGGGAGGGAGTCAGGGAGCACTTACCTCAAGCAGCTCCCAGAAACAGCAGCATGTACCCCCCCTCCGGCTCCTATGCGGAGGTGCTGCCAGGCGGCTCTGCGCACTGACCTGTGCGGAGGCACCGCCCCTGCTACTCCCATTGGCTGTGGTTCCTGGTCAATGGGAGCTGCTGCGGGGGTGGCGCTTGGGGTGGGGGCAGTGTGCGGAGCCCCCTGGCTGCCCCTACGCGTAGGAGACAGAGTGGGGATGGGCCGCTGCTTCCAGGAGCCGTTGGAGTGGGGCAAGACCCTGACCACGCTCCCTGGCTGGAGTGAGGCAAGACCCAGATCCCGCTTCCCGGTGGGAGCTCAAGGGCCGGATTAAAATGTCTGGAGAGCCGGATGTGGCCCCGGGCCATAGTTTGCCCACCTCTGCTCTAATATTAGCAAGGCTGTACTAGGTGGAAATTTCTTCCTGACCCCAGGTACTGATAAGGCTCAGGAGGCATGAAGATTGAGAGCCCTATGTATTTTTGTTCTAACTAGTGTGTGCCTTCCTTGTGAGCTCTAACTGTATCTCTATCACTGCAATCTTGATAAGAAGGGGAGTGGGGGTGCTAGAAAATGAGATGGGAATTACATCTACTGGATCCCTAGCTGTGTACATCTGCTGGCATAGAGATAGTTCTATTAAAAAAATGTTATTAATCATGTTTATCAGAATAGGGCTTAAGGACCAACCAAGAATGGGGCTCCATTGTGCTAGGCACTGTATAAACAGTCTTCTGCTGGTCCCTGCCCCATAGAGCTTACAGTTTCAATAGGCAAGATGCCCACAGGTGGGGAAGGGGTAGAACACCCCAGCAGAGTGTGATGGCAGCAAATAGCATGTTAGTTTCATCATGCACTTTTTTAGAAGCTTTTAGTTAGGATAAACTACATGGAAAGAAAAGGGAGGGGCGAGGGGATGCTGGAGAAAAGAGGGGTGTTGGGGGCAGGGGAGAAGAGGGAAAGGGGCAGCTGCGTGTGAAGTGAAGCAACTAGGGAGAGGAAGAGTTGAGCAAATAGCCAATCAGCGCAGGGCAGAGACAGTCCAGTCAAAACTGTAGGAAGTTCTGACTGGCCCAGGTCCCTGCTTTGATGCCTTCTCAGCCCAACAGCTCCAGCTGGCTGGGGTCTCTGGTTGGTTCCTCTCCAGTTTCTCCTCAAGGCCATAGGGTGAGGTGGGAGGAAGCCAGGAGGCATCACCTGAGTCCTAGTTTCCCCTGATTGTCGGGGGGTGCTGGTTGGTTATGGAGGGCTGGGGAGGGAAACGATTGTCCAATTCCTGCTAAAACAGCAGTGGCAGTTTTAAAAAGAACCAGAGAGGGATTCTCCAGCCAGCAGATTTTGAGGCCAGCATCTGCTTTAATCAGCATCAGGTCACTGCAAGGCTGGCAGAGCAAATGGGGGAAGTGGAGAGGGCTGATTTTATAGGCCTTTGGGTTAATATTCTAATTTACAAGTAAAAAGCCCTTTACAGAGTCCTCTTCCCAACCATTGTTAGCCAAGTTAGCTCCAAGTACAGCCTGTTTGTGCACTCTCCCTCTCATTGCCCTAATACAGTGGTTCCCAACCTCTCTTTTTTTTTTTTTTTAGCGTGTTCATAGATTCTAGGACTGAAAGGGACCTCGAGAGGTCACGAGTCCAGTCCCCTGCCCTCATGTCCCCTTTGCCCTAAATCTTGACACACTTGCTGTCCTCTCTCCTTTATTCTGTCCACTTTCTCACTCTTCCTTGTTCCTTTTTTCTTTTATATGTGCTTTCCTCACCCCCTTCCCACTGCTCCTTCCCCCTAAACCTCCTACGTCTGATCTCCATTCCCTCTCTCAACACGGTGCTGGCCGTGCTCATCTGGGGGTGGAGTAGAGAAGCTTGGGCTGGAAGGCTGCTACTTCAGTCTGCAGCCACCAACAGGTGAGCTGCTCTTGCAACCAGCCATTTTAGGAGCCACAGCAGAAGGGGAGAAGCTTCCAAGGGGCTACCTTCTACCTCATCTGCAGAAGGGTCAGCACGTTTCAGGTGGGGAGATAGATCTGGGCAGCTGCAGCTTTCTTCACCTACACTGTGATCCTTTTCTCTGGCACCTCCAGGTTGGGAAACACGGCTCTTCTAAAAGTGTCTGTTTCTTTATTGTTGCTCACTGCCAGCCTAAACAGTGTCCTAGTGGCTCTGATTGGATTAACATCTGATGCCACCTTCAGTTGAAATTTAAACAGAAAATCCTGCCTTTGGGTTCAGAACATTAGCTCTGCTTTTGTGGAGCTGATGAGATTCAAAACTCCAGAATGGTCCCTGATCCCATTGATACACAGTGGTGGGTGGGAGGGAAAGATATATTTTACTATCTTAGTTCTTTTTCTACCCAGAAAACAATCACTGTGTGATTCAGCCCCTTGCACCTCACTGACGTTTATTTCATAATGAATTACACAAAAGCTCCATTAATCTGACCTCCATGTAACCGAAGGTTGGTCCTGCCCCAGATAGCAATGCACCCTAAGCCTTGCTTCACTGCTTATGTAAAACTCAATTTTCCTAAAGGTTGCAGATATTTCCAAAACTCTGGAAAAATAAATATACACAATTTTATTTTAAAATATCCCTGGTGTGTAGGGGAGCTAAAATGGAGGATAGTGTTATTCTGCCACTCCAAGAATAAATTATCTGTTGAGAATAGCTGACTTTGTAGTATACTTAAGGCCACAATTTGCTTTCTTACTTCACAACAATGGGAATGATGATTCAGACACTAGGAAGCTCTTTCAAAAATAATTGTCCAAAAGTATCAACCTTCTGTTTAGTTCTGTTCGGAGTTCCCTGAACTGGGATAAGATGTATTCTTGTGATGCCCATTAAAGTGTCAAGTACACACAATGCTTATTCATCTCTTATACTGGTGTAAATTGGGAATAACTCCACAGCAGTTGTAAACTTAGTCTAGGTCTACACTGTGCACAGTTAGGGTTACTGGAATGCAAACAATACACTGGTGTAAAAATCAGTAAGTGGGAGAAGAATCTAGCCCAGTCTGGTGGAAGAGGCTAACATCTGAGGAATAGCTTGTATTAGCCCTAGTGGTCAGTGCCAGTGTAGAAAAACTCACTGCCCATATCAGCTAGGAACTGTGCTAAGTGCTGATAGAAATGGGAGGAAGTGATAAATGCCCAGAATACAAGTTTCTAGCACAGGTACATTATTATTACACTTCTTTGAGTGACATTAAGGTTGTGACTGAATTATTTGCTTAACACTGTAAGCAACCATTCTTCATTGCTTAATATCTGTCATTTCAAATTGGATGAGTCTTAAGATTCAGTTCACAAGTCATCAGCCCAGCTGCACTTTTTTCTTTAACAAAATGCCTTATTTTACAGGCAGCAGTTCAAGGGTCATTGCTATCTGCTCCCTTACTAATACATACATCTGTACCCCGATATAACGCTGTCCTCGGGAACCAAAAAATCTTACCACATTATAGATGAAACCGTGTTATATCAAACTCACTTTGATCCGCCGGAGCACACAGCCCCGCCCTCCCGAAGCGCTGCTTCACCGCATTATATCTGAATTTGTGTTATATCAGGTCGCGTTATATCAGGGTAGAGGTGTAGTACATTTTCATATTAAAAGCTCAAAAATACATTTTTTGGTCATTTCCAGTAGGCAGCTGTTGTTTCTCCAATGTGCATGGGGTTCATTGGCTGGTTTTTTTTTTTTTTAAGTGAATGTTTAGGTTTGCCATTTTAGCACCTTTGTCAAAGCATTCAGACAGAAAGCCCCTCTAGTCAAGAACAGGGTCAACATATGCAGCAGCAGTACAGCCCTTGTGGAAAAGTCCTATAGAAATAAAACCAATAGGGTGGTAGAGAAATTGCCTCCATAGGCTTTTTTTAAACTGTCCTATAGATTTCAACAGTAGAACCTCAGAGTTACGAACACCTTGGGAATGGAGGTTGTTCATAACGCTGAAATGGTCATAACTCTGAACAAAACATTATGGTTCTTTCAAATGTTTACAACTGAACATTGACTTAATACAGCTTTGAAACTTTACTATGCAGAAGAAAAATGCTGCTTTCCCTTTATTTTTCTAGTAGTTTACATTTAACACTGTACTGTGCTATATTTGCCTTTTTGGTTTTTTTGGCTCTGCTGTTGCCTTATTGCAGACTTCCAAATGAGGTGTGTGTGCCTGGTCAGTTTGTAACTGAGGTTCTACTGTATTCTGTAGCAAAACTATAATTCTCTTATATCCTATAGGATAGTTAAATCTTATACAGAAAGGTTATTTTATGTTATCTATGGTATTTTATCATAGAAGTAAGACCTGTGTAGGGGTGAGCAGTAAATCTGTCTCCCTGCCTATTTAGGTTCCTGCAATGAGAACCCAGCAAGTTCTGGAGGCGCTAAGTGGGTACAGAGGGCTGCCCTTTTATTCATATTGCGGCATCATGGCGATTGTCTTTAGCAGAGACTACAAAGGGGGCTAAGAAGTGCTATTATGGTGGTAGTTTTGTGATACAGGCACTTGTCAACTAGGACAACCATCTTATTTCAGCCA